TTCTAAGGTGTTGTAGGACTTTGTCAACTGAAAATTCCTATAGGCAGTAAGTATTGTTAACTCTTTAGATGGCAGTTTTTACAAGTACATGCTTCTCTATATTGCTTCCTTTAATTTTTTTAAAAATATTTTGATTTTTACAGAGAGGAAGTGAGAGAGACAGAGAGTTAGAAACATCGATGAGAGAGAAACATCGATCAGCTGCCTCCTGCACATCTCCCATTGGGGATGTGCCCGCAACCCAGGTACATGCCCTTGACCGGAATCGAACCTGGGACCTTTCAGTCGCAGGCCGACGCTCTATCCACTGAGCCAAACCGGTTTCGGCTTCCTTTAATTTTTAATTTTTTTTTTTTTTACCTCAGACAATTGCATATCTGGATCCAGCTTTGTAATCTCTTCATTCAGACTTGGATTACTTCTTGCTGGCGGTATAAATTTTGGTTTTTTGAAGGGTTTCCCCTGCAACTGACTTGGTGCTGCAGATCGTCTCATGTTCAGCAGTACTAACCTGAAAAATACCAAAAACAAAAATCTCCCATAAGTCTGATTAAATTCAGGTCTTTCTGCCTCGGTTTCCGTGGTGAGTGGGGACATTCACATTGTGCTGGACAGCCCTTATACAGTTTGAGGGGTTAGCAGTGGAGGGCATTCTCTACTGTTTCTTATTCAAGGGCAAAATAGATCTCTATTAACACAATCTTAGAGCAAATTAATGGTTTTAATTAAAATTGGTTTGTAACTATGTGTACTTGAGAAGCAGTATTTACCAAGAGCAGTGGTCAATACAGATTCTGTCTAAATAAGTCATGCCAAAATAACCTCACTAACCTCATCCCCTTTAAAATGGGCCAACAGAATATTACATGTCCCTGGATACATAATTGACAACTGCAACATGATGAATTACAACATACAAATGTTAGGCCCTTAATGGTCAAATGAAATAGAACAATAGAAAGTTTATATGGAAAAACTCAAGGGGCTTTTAGATGACAATAGCTCAACTGAAATAACAAGATAATGATGAGTCTACTTAATTAAAGTAATAAATTCTCGACGTCATTAATAAAAATGATGTCCACATCATGAAATTAGGTTTTATTTTCTGCATTTAGTCAGATCCCCCTGTAAAACTCTGAAAATTCTGACCAAAACCGTTTTTAAAAAGAACGTTAGAAAAACACAGTAGCTAGAAACTTTGGGCAAACTATTTAAACTCTCTGGGTATCAATTCCCTCATTTGTAAAATAAAGAGAATGGACTAGATGGTAAAATTTCTTTCATCACCACCTTACACCCTGAAACCCTTCCAGACCTAATACACGATTTCTAATTTTTCAACCCTCCTGTTTATCCTATTATTTTTTAAATGAATTTGAGAATGTAGGCAAGTGAGAAGCAGCACCGAGTGGTGGTGGTTTAGAAAACAGATTCTAAATTGACCGGAATTCTAGCTCTGCCATTTACATCCACCAGTCATCTAACTTATTAATGCATTTAAAAGTAAACTGCAGGCATCAGTATATTTCCCCCTTAAATATTTGAGCTTCCTTGCTACCTCTTAAATTAGAACTGAGCCCTTTGCCCAGGCCCTGGAAATAATGCCCATTTGGCTGTAGCTGGTTTGGCTCAGTGGACAGAGTGTGGGCCTGAGGACTGAAAGGTCCCAGGTTCCATTCCAGTCAAGGGCATGTACCTTGGTTGCGGGCTTGTTCCCCAATAGGGGGCGTGCAGGAGGCAGTCCATCAATGATTCTCATCATTAATGTTTCTCTCTCCCTCTCCCTTCCTCTTTGAAATCAATAATATATTTTTAAAAATAAAAAAATAAAAGTAAAATAAATAATGCCCACTTGGCAGCCCTACTGGGATGCTACAAGTTCTGAGATGATGCGAACACCCTACCTGCTTCTGTCCTCCCTAGTCAATGGCTGAGAGCTGCCACACATCAGAAAACCAGAAACTCTGGGGCAATGCAGAGAATAATGACGAACACAGCTTTGAAGGTAACAGTGTCATGTCGTCACTAAGAACACAGCTTTGAGGGTAAATACCTGAATATAAGGTGAACACCTGGCCTGACACTTCCTAGTGTGTGATGCTGCACAGTGTGCCTAACCTCTGTGTCTCCATTTCTTCGTCTATAATAGGGGGTACAGCAATCATAATGACTCACGGTGCTATTGGGTTAAATGAAACACTCCACGCACTTAGGACAAAGCTTACACACAGTAAGCACCCTAGGTTATCTGTGATAATACCATGTCTAATTACTACTGGATGCTTAAGACACAAGGCCCTGTGATGAGGGTCCCACGAGGCGGGGCAGTGAAGGATGTCGACCAGGGGGATCGTGGCCGAAATCTGTGGGTTCGTGTGGCTTTGAAGGTGGGAGGGGTGCCCCCATCCGACCCCCGGGAGCAAGGGTGTAAACAAACCACCAAGAACCAGCCACGGCCGCCTCTGCTGCGGCGGCAATCCCCTGCCATTGAAGTCACTGCCCCATTGTGCCGCCTAAAATTCCTCCGCTAATGATCAACACCGTGATGAGGGCGTGGGCCAACGGGGAAGAAACGCCACCTGGCAGAGCCAGCGGAACCAGAGAGGACGCGGAGGCATAACCGTCCGCAGTTCCGTCTCCCGGAGGCTCCGCCAAAAACACACCCCCCACCGCCGCCCCCCGCCCCCCAGGACCCGCGGCCAGGGGCGCCCCACACCTCAGATCGCCCCCGGGACCCGCAGGAGGCGGCCCCGCCTGCTTCGCCGCCGACCTTCCCTCCTCCCTCGGAGGCCTGCTGTGGCGCCTCTCCTCGCGGAGCTCCACACGAGCCTACACGCTGTCGCCGGGCGGTTCTCCGGAAAGCCACGGGCGAGGACCCGAAGGAAGCGGAGTTGTCCGCAGGAGCAACCGGGGTAGACAGCGCCCCTCACCGCGAGAGCTCAAAGATCCCGCTTCCGCGCAGCCAATGGCGGAAGAGCCCGCGCGCGTGCGCACTACCACCGTGGCGGCGCCGGGTCCAGCCCGGCTCTGATTGGCCGACCTTCCGGCACGTGGCCCTTTGCATTTCTCTGGAAGCGCTTCCAGGTTTCCTACAGGTTGGTGGTTCAATTCAGAAAGGGATTTATGCCCTGGCCGGTTTGGCGCAGTGGGTAGAGCGTCGGCCTGCGGAGCGAAGGGTCCTGGGTTCCATTAGGGTCAGAAAGGATTGGCAGGAATTATTCAAAGTGATGAAAAGACAAGGAGCTACAACCCAGATTACTCCATCCAGCAAGTCTAACATTCAGAATCTAAGGACAGATAAGAGCTTCCCAGACAAGAAGGGGCTAAAGAAGCTCACCACCACCAAACCATTATTACAAAAAACATTAAAGGGTCTTTTTTTAAGGAGAAAAAGATAAAAAACATGAATAGCCCTGGCTGGTGTGGCTCAGTTGGTTGGAGCATTGTCCCATATACAGAAAGGTTAAGGGTCAGGGCACATACGGAAGGCAACCAATGGATGCCTATCCCCACCCCCCACCCCCCATCCCCACCCCTTTAAATCAATAAGCATATCCTCCAGTGAGGATTTTTTTAAAAACATGAATAAAAATGGCTATAAATACATATTTATCAACAATTACTTTAAATGCAAATGGTTAAGTTTTCCAATGAAAAGACATACTATGTCTGAAGGGATAACAAAGCAAGACCATTACATATGCTTTGTACAAGAGACCCACTTGAAATAAAAGACACAGACTGGAAGTAAAGAGATGGAAAAAGATATTTTATGAAAATGGAAATCTAATTTAAAAAGCAGGGATAGCAATACTTATACCAGACAAAATAGACTTTAAAACAAAAGCTATAACAGGAGACAAAGAAGGACCCAGCGATTCTGCTTCTGGGTATACATTAAAAAAAAAAATACACACACAAAATGATAAACCAAAACTATTCATTGCAGCATTGTTTACAATAGCCAAGATATGGAAGCAACCTAAGTGTCCATCAGTAGATGAATAAAGAAGTGATGCACACAAATGGAATATGACAACCATATGAAAAAATAAAATCTTGCCATCTACAACAGCATAGATATATCTAGTGTGTGTTGTGCTGAGTCAGAGGACAAATGCCATGATTTCACTTATATGCAGAATATGAAAAAGAGTATCTGAACAAGCAGAACTGAGACTCAGATACAGAAAACATTTTGATGATTGCCAGACGGGAGGAGGGTTGGAGGGATGAGTGAAAGAAGTGAAGGGATTAAGAAGTACAAATTGGTGGTTACAGAATAGCCATGGGGATGTCAGTACTATTGTAGTAACTATGTATGGTGTCAGATGGGTACAAGATTTATCGGGGTGATCCCTTCTTGGGTTATATAAATGTCTAATCACTGGGTTATACACCAAAGACTGATATAATATTGCACAGCAACTGTAATTGAAAAACAAGTTACTTTAAAAAAATTAGAAGCTAGCCAACATGGTTTTAAAACCTTGTATCACTTTGGAATCAAGTTCCTACATCTGTAAAATTAGGATAATACCTCCTTTGCTGGACTGTTATAAAGACTGAGTAATAATGCATGAAAGGGATAGTCAACATGCTGAATTCCTTAGCTTCCCATTTATCTAAGATTATTAGGTAATCAGGACATTTTTAATGATGCACATAAATGGAATATGACCATAAGAAAAATAAAATCTTGCCATCTACAACAGCATGGATATACCTAGTGTCTGTCATAAACTTTATTTCTGTATGTAAAGTTCAGATTTTATTAGATATTTGGATTCCCAAAATAACTATTAGGACACACCTCATTTTAGGCTTTAGATAACTAATAAAATAGCAAATGTAGGTATAATTTGCTTCTACAGTACTAATTTATTACTTTGGCTGGCATGAATTCCTGAGTGTTACACTAACAAATAGCATATACAACACTCTGATATTTCTCAAAGATTATATTCAACTTAAAGCTAAAAAACAAATCAAGAAATGTACCTATAGTCAGCGGTACATATACTAAAATTGGAACAATACAGAGATGAGCATGGCCCCTACACAAGGATGACACACAAATTTATGAAGCATTCCATTAAAAAAAATGTACATATAGCCATATTTTAATAACAAGTGTAATTACTTAAGAAACAATTCTTACAGGTATTTGGTCAGGTATTAGGGACAAACTTTGAATTCTATCCAATGTGAATAATGTTATCTTTAGAGATGAGCTTATTAGGTTTGAGAATTGAAAGGGGTTTAGTTATCCTGGTTTTTTTGAGGCCATTAGGGACATGAGATTTCCTTTACTTTTCACTTAAACATCACAGTCTTTAGAGCTGAACTTTTATTAAAGGCGTTCTAACAAACATTGTATTCACTCACAAATAGTTCAGCAAAACATGGTGATAAAGGAATGAAGTGAGACTCATACACACTTTGTTGTTTAAGTCTTTATTTTTATTTATTTTTTTATTGATTTGAAAGAGAGGGAGAGAGAAGAAACATTGATGAGAAACATCCATCGGCTGCAGCTGCCTCCTGCACCTCCTGCACACCCTCCATTCCCTCACTGCCCATCCCCCACCTCCCAGGATCACACTTGCAACTTGGGGGTGTGCCCCTACCAGGAATTGAACGGGTGACCTCTTGATTCATGGTCCACACTCAACCACTGAGCCACACCGCCCGGGCGAGAAGTCTCTATTTTATGTCAGTTATATAGGCTCAGTGTTATCTCTTGGGAAAAATATGGCTATTTTCTGTTATAAACTTTATTTCTGTATATAAAGTCCAGATTTTATTAGATATTTTGGACTCCCAAAATAACTATTAGGACACACCTCATTTTAGGCTTTAGATAACTGTAATAAAATAGCAAATGTAGGTATAAGTATAAAGCTGAAACACAAAGTACATACACATTTCTAATGTACGGAAGAACGTTGTGTTTCTTTTGTTACAAAAAGGTTCCCCAAACTATGTATCAGGGCACCCTAGTAAATTAGCAGAAGGGTCAGTGTTTGTTTCAAATTTTTGAGGGGAACACATCTATTGGACATAACACCAACTACTAGGGTGAGGTAGTTTATATTTTCAATATTAGGTGGCTTTATATTTCTTCCCATGACAGTGTATCTTTTAAAAACTGGGTTTTCAGCAGTTGTGATCAAAAGTACTGTGCAAAAAGCATAGTGATTAAGCAATAAAGAAAAAAGGGGAAAAAAAAGCATAGTGGAACAGGAAATGATAGTAGCAGTGTCGATCCACGCTGATTCCAAAGGGTGAGAAGCTGTACAGTGTCCACAGTTACTAATGCTTATGATATAAATTCTTATTAAGTTGTTTGGACCTGACTGCTTAATAAATGGAAGTATTATGCATTTCTTTAGTCCTAGATGTGCCAAAAAAAAAAAAAAAATTACTGAAACGCTAAAGGGCACCATGAGCTGAGAAAATACTGGGAACATCTGTGGTCTAGGCAAGGTATACACTAAGACAAAAGTAATTTCATCATTCATTTTTCTACCTAAGAAATTTTCTAGTCTTGTATAAGAAAGAGAAAAAATATATAAAACATACATACAAAGTTTGGATTTTTATTGAAATCTTGTGTTATGTATCAAACAAAATCTGCTTTCTTCAGATAAAAATATTTCTTCAGAGTTTCCAGATAACTGCTAAAAGGTTAAGTTGGTCCTTCAATGTCTTATTTTATTGTTTTTTGTTGTTGTCATGAAATGTTCATATACACTTAGGATGTTCCCAAAATAACTTTTATCGTGTAAAGGACCGTACATGACGACCTCTACCACTGCCTCCACTGACAAACTTTCCTCTTGAGCCTCCACTGCCGCTATTTGCACTTGCCCAGGAAGGTCCAAGTCCCCCACGGCCTCTTGAAGCCCGGTCACGAGGACTTGGGCGGTAGCCTATAAAAGAAAGAACACAGTATTAGTTGCAACACCCTTTCCTTTCCCATTATATGAAGACTCGTCTGTAACACTGAGCTCAAACCAAAACAGAAATTATTCTTTGCTCCTTTAAAATCCACATACAAGTTCTATGAACGTGTTAAAGACCAGTGTGAATTGTCCTCTTTAAATAGGTAAATTGTTTCATACATGAGAACAACATCTCAAATAAAGCTGTTAAGGGTTATATGCTTGTACACACAATAGAATACAGTAACTAAAAATAGAAGACACCTTATGAAGATATGTCTGTTCTTAAAATACTTTGGTCAAAAATGTACCTAAGGGTTGGCTTTCATTATTAAAATATAAAAACAGCGCACATCACCATGAAACTGCTCAGACTATACACGAAGTTCAGAATCCGCAATTTTGATTATTTCTATAGAAAATGTCCATTGGGCACTCATTCAGATATAAAATTAAATTGACTTTAGAATTACACGTTTACATTCTAAAATATTCTCTCCCAGAATCAGAGTACATGACATTTAACAATTTGAAAATGAGGATTCACTTCCCTCTCTCAGCAATATCCAGTAGGAAGAATGTTTACCTGTAGAACTAAGTGGTCGTAAAGGTGGAAGAGGGCCCCTATTAAAATTGCTCTGGCCTCCGCGACTTTCATTGTAAGTTCCTCGAGGAGTGTTCTGAGCGCTCCAACTGGAGCCTCTTGTTCCCTCCCGACGACTGTAGTTTCCTAAAGGCAACACAATCACATCTTTTTTCACAACTTCAGTTGGATTAAGAAAGACCTGACAGGTTTTCCTTAACCTTCCAAAGGAATGGAAGATAAACTGAAATTTTTGTAAATGAAATATACTGTAGAGTGGCAGCACCGTACGTGGTTAGGAGCAGAAGCTCTGGAGCCAGACTGCCAGGTTCACATACTGGTTTCACCACTTACACTTATGTGTCCTGACAGTTTTCTCTTCTGTAAATCGTTGTATTAACAAAACCTACCTCATGGGGTTGATGTAAAAGTATTATATGTCAAGTGCTTATAACCATCCCTAACACAGCTCTGTGTTTGCTATTAATGTAAACTTCTATTCTCTTTCACTCCTATCCTCCACAGCAGCAAAAAAACATGTCCTCAATCTACTGGTGAAGCATAATATCTATGAATAAACTCAGTTTCTGAAATCTTGAAACAATTTAAAACATTAAATATTACATTAGGAATCAAGTACACAAGAGAATCAATGGTGAATACACAGAAAAATCTTCGGGAAATTGTTGATAAGTACAGATACAAAAATAATGTATAAATATTATTCAGAAAAGATAAACATAATTCTTAATGTAAAAAAAAATAATTAGCCCAGACTTAATTAAACTTATCACTAAATGTGCTTAAATTAAGCAAAGGTTAATTTTAAAAAGATTTTTTCCCTATCCAATAAAATGCTCTGCAAATAGTACCACTGTAAGTAGTCAAGAGGCAACTTAATTTTAGTAACAGAAAAATACTTTATCTGAATCACTACCATCTCAATAATTTCTATTTATTATTCTAATATTCCACTATTTTAACCCAGCAATTTTCAACCTTTTTCACCTCATGACACACACAAGCTAATTACTAAAATTCTGCAGCACACCAAAAAATAGACATAGCCCTAACCGGTTTGGCTCAGTGGATAGAGCATCGGCCTGCGGACTGAAGGGTCCCAGGTTTGATTCCGGTCAAGGGCATGTACCTTGGTTGCGGGCACATCCCCAGTAGGGGGTATACAGGAGGCAGCTGATCGATCTTTCTCTCTCATCGATGTTTCTAACTCTCTATCCCTCTCCCTTCCTCTCTGTAAAAAATCAATAAAATATATATTTTTTAAAATTAGGTATAATTTTTTTTATACACACTTGACGACTATTGTGTTGGCTGTTGTCATTTTTTTATTTGACAATCTAAGGGAAGAGGTCAGTGCCCCCAACTAAATAGTCAGGTAGTGCATGTTTTAAAAACTCTTGCAGCACACTGGTTGAAAATCACTGTTCCAACCCATTAGAAAATATATATAACCTTGGCTGGTGGTGATCAGTGGTTAGAGTGATGGCTTGCGACTTGAAGGGTCACAGGTTTGATTTCCAGTCAAGGGCAAGTACCTAGGTTGCAGGTTCGATGCCCAGTCTGTCGGGGCACATGCAGAAAGCAACCAATCAATGTGTGACTCTCACATCAATGTTTCTGTTTCTCTCTCTCTCTCTCTCTCTCTCTCTCTCTCTCTCTCTCTCTGTCCCCCCTTCCACTCTCTCTAAAACTCTATGGAAAAAATATCCTCAGGTGAGGATTAACAAAACAAAACAAAAAAAGAGAAAGAAAACATATATAAGTAGTTACCTTTTGAGGCAGGCGGTGTGAAAAACCTATTTTGACTGTGAAAAGCTCCCCGTCCTCCTCGATTGCCTGAAAATCCACCACGAGAAGAAATCTTCTGTGATACTTTGAGTGGCCGTTTTGGTGGGGGTATTCCATCTTGCGGGACCACTTCTTTACTTTCAGCTGCAACAAAGTCATCCACGTGCATAGACGGTGGTCTGCTTGTGTTCTGTTTTCTCTGACGAAAAATATCATGGGGTCGTATGCCCTGTCCAAATCCTCCCCTGCCCCTTCCTCTTGGTGGCGGCACAACATGAGCTCGTTTGGCAGGTTCAATGTACTCGGATTTTCCACTATTAAAACAAAAACAGACCATGAAAACATTAAAAAAATAGATATACTACCAATGAAAATATAAATTAATCTTTGCAATATGAAAACTACATTTCAATTATTTCTTATTCCAATTGTGGTTACTTTGCAAATATTTCCATTACAGGCAAACCTTGCTTTAATGTGCTTTACTTTACTGAACTTCACAGATATTGCATTTTTTACAAATTGAAGGCAAAATCCTACATCAGTAAAAAGAATGACTCACCGAAGGCTCAGATGATAGTATCGTTTAGCAGTCAAGTATTTTTTAATTAAGGTATGTACATTGGATTTTAGACACAATGATATTGCACACTTAACAGACTACAGTATAGGGTAAACATAACGTTTACATGCACCAAGAAACAAAAAATTTCATATAACTCACTTTATTATGATATTTACTTTATTGTAGTAGTCTGGAACC